TAGTGAGAATGTAAGACGGCGCAGCCACTGTGGGAAACAACATGAAGCTTCCTCAAAAAATTACAAATAAAACTACCATATGATCCAGCAATCCTGCCTCTGGGTAAGTCCGCAAAAGAACTGAGAGCAGGATATTAAAGAGAGATTTGTACACCCATGTTCATTGTAGCCCTATTTATAATGGACAAGAGGTGGAAACAACCCAAATGTTCACAGACAGATGACTGGTTAAACAAAATACGGCATATACATACGATGGACTATTATCTGGGCTTTAAAAAGAAGGAAACCCTGACACATGCCACCACATGAGTTAAGCTTGAGGACATCATGCTGAACAAAGTGTCAGTCATAAAAAAGACAAATACTGTATTCACGTACATGAGATGTATAAAAGTTGTGAAATTCACAGAAGCAGAAAGTAGAATGGTAGCTGCCAGGGGACAGAGGGAGAAGGGAATGGGACATTGTGATTTAATAGGTACAGGTGTATGATTAAAGAAATTTTTCACATATTGAGGTATAGAGAGGAGATCTAGCCACACCCAAGAAGAGAGTCACCATGGGCTCGCACCACAGGGCCCAGCAGGGCCAAGAGGGCAGTGCGTGGAGGGAGTGGGGAGTGGGACATGGTCTTTTCCTTCCACCTATACCCTCTTCTCACCTCCTGCAGGCCCTGAGTAAACCCGAGCATCCTGTCCTCCTCTTCCCAGTACCTGGGCCCTGGGGGAGAGACAGCCGGCCTCTCCCAGGGTGCTTCAGGCTTCCTGTCTCTGCAGTCACAGAAGGATGGAAGATTTCTGCAGAATCTCCAGGCCGGGCAGAACCCAAGCTGACCTAGCCAAGGGGAAACCCCATATTCTCTGCCCCAAAATGCTCATTCTTAAGGGGAAACACCCCATAACTATTTCTGGGGGGATGGAAAGAGTCTAGGGCCTAGGAAATGTTTGGGAAAGATTTCCCTGTCTCAACCCAGCAAGATGAAAGCTACGCCCTCCCCAGCTGGCTCAGCGCTGCCCTGCAGGGCAGCTCCCGGCAGCTCACTGAGACCTGGAAAGCTTCCAGAAGTTCTGGGAGAGTCAGACAGGAGGTCACTGTCCCTCCCTGGGGTCAGAACACAATCCTTCAAGGTAGGAGGTTGAAGCCCCAGAGAAGAGTCTGCACTGAAGCCTAGAACAGACCACCTTTTCCTTCACTGGACATAGTCGGAACCACCCTCGCCTCCCCCATCCCTGACCTTAGGATGTAGCTCTCCAAACCCAAAGTCTCCCCCACACAATGTAAAAACATGGGTGCAGCCTTCCCGACTTTGTTCTGAGAAATGAGATAAGAGGGAGAATTCAGCTCCTCCCTTCAGCTCCAGAGCTCCAGCTGCTAGTGCAGGGAATCTCCTAATAGCTGACCTCTCTGGAGTGGTGACCACAGTCCATAGTCCCGGGATTGGTCAGTGACTCCCTCCATTGCGCTGGAGAGGGTGGCGACGGTGGGAAGCTGTAGCCGCCTGTTTGACCCAAATGCTCTGGTCTCTCCATATTCTCTCTTGCAGCACCAAGGAATTTGATATTATCCTGTCTTTATGTTTTGAATTTCAACCTAAATGGTTCTTCCTTGGGGGCAGAAATTTGGCTGGTCACAATCACTGGGAAATAGTGGCTCAGGACAATGCAGTTTTATTCATTTCATGCTCACCATCAAGGGAGACATAATATATGACCTGGAGTGTGGTGGCACCAGAGCAGACGTGTGGGGTTTTCTGCAGGACTTGTGTGTCTGACTTTGGTGGCTGGGGAGATGGTGTGCCACCCACTGAGAGAGGATGCAGTGGGAGCAGGTGCTGAGGGGAATAATGTTCATTTGGGAGCATGCTGAATATGAGGTGCTGGTGAGTCATCCAAGTGGAAATGTCCAGTGGATAATTGAATACAGGGTCTAGAGCATGCGTGTGAGCAGGGAGAAGTCTGATCTGGAGATGAACAACGGTGACGCTCCTAAATCTCTCTCTCTTTTTAAAATTTCTCTTTCTTCATTTTATTTATATATTTATTTTGGGTGTGTGTGTGGGAGAAGTAATTAGGGTTATTTATTTATTCATTTTTAATTGAGGTACTAGGGATCACACCTAGGACCTCGTGCATGGTACGCATGCACTCTACCACTGAGCTATATACCCTCCCGCTCCCCAACAAATCTCATTTAAACCATGGGTTTGCATGGGGCCATTCAAGGACCTTGCACGGACCAGAACAGCTCAGCTCAGAGTCAAGATGGCGCCCTGGGTGGGAAGAGCAGAGGAAGGAGCTCCTGGAAAGGACGATGAGAAGCAGAAGCCAGAGAGGCAGAAGTGAAACTGAGAGAAGGTTTTTTTTTTTTAAGCCAATGGAAAGCAGAATCTCAAGAAAAGAAGTCAACAAAGTCAAATGACTGAGAAACTATAAGATCAGACCTGGCAATGTCCATTGGACTTGGCCAAATGAAGGTCACAGATGATTTTGGTGAAAATATTTCAGGGGTGGGTCAAGGAGGGGCCGGACTGTAGGGAGTGCAGGGAGAAGATGGGGACATGGACACAGATGGCTAAGGAGTTCACAGGGGTGAGGAGTGGGGAAATGAGGAAAAAGTTGAGCATCCTTATTTGGTAAAGGAAAGAACCATCGGAGAAGGAGGGGGAGGCGAGAAAAAGAGGACAACGGATAGGGCATCCATAGCGGAAGGTGCTGAGGTGAGAGGAGGGGGAGGCGGCGCCGGTGCACAGGCAGAAGGGCACGCGGCCCCGCCTCTGTGGGCTGGGACTTGCAGGTGATGGAGCAAGCTGGAAAGTTATTTTCCTCTGTGAAGTAGGAGGTAGAACCATCTGTTGAGGGTAGGGTGGGAGGCAGTGGAAAGGAGTTGCAGAAAGAGGTGAAAGTTAGTAATCGTCAGTGAGGGGAGGGAGAATGCTAGTAACCAGAGAGGAAGGGCATTGCCTCTCGGAGTGACAAGGCTACTGAGGCAGAGGCGGTGAATTTCCAGCCCTCTGCTCAACGTGGTCCTGTGGCTTCCTCCTTTCACATCCACAGCTCGCACGGGAGACGCAGGTTGAGCCAGCATCTGAGTGTGGTTGGGCAGAGTGGTTAACATCGGACCACAGGCGCTGAGCTGGGATGGGAAGCGAGTGAAAGCCAAAGGAGCTCCGTGGCTGGGAGAAGAGGTAGGAGTCAGAGTGTGTACAGGGAGGTGGAAAGGCGGAGGGGCTGAAGGGCACAGTCAAATGCTGGACAGCAAAATCTCAGGGATGACACCCCCGAAGACAGCAGGGCGCAGGGGAGTGTGCTGTTTCACGGAGAGGAGCTGAATGCCCTCAGAGATGAGGAGGCTGAGGAAGGACAAGGCGAGGGCATGAGACAGGTTGCTCATCCACACAGTCGGAGAAGGTACTAGGGTGATGGGGGACAAGGCACCAGAAGACAGTAAGCCGGGTGCCCAAGTCCTCAGTGAGTGCAGGGAAGGAAGTAGGGAACCAAGGAGAACAAATGGGCTATCTGAGCAGCAGGAGAGCCAAAGTCCTGTTGACTCGGAGATGGAAGACACACGTCTGGGTGGTAGGGAGAGCAAAACTAACGGGGGCCCTGCCCTCAGATACGGGATCCTGGGGGAGGCCTCCCCCTTGGCTCACTTGAGGAGGTGCAGAGGGGACATTCTCTCCATGGGTGAGCAGTATGTCCTCTGTCCTCTGCAGCCATGCTTGTAGGTCAGCAGTGTGGGGTGGGGGTGGGGACGGAAGCACGGGCGGTGCTGAGTGAGAAGACGGAGGATCTGGACAAGTTTCTACTGTACAGCACAGGGAACTATACTCAACACCTTGCAGTAACCTATAATGGAAAAGAATATGAAAATGAATGTATGTATACATATGACTGAAACATATGATGTACACCAGAAATTGACACATTATGAGCTGACTATACTTCAATTAAAAAAAAGAAAGACAATGACTGAGGATTGTCACAGGGCGAGGGGCCATCAGCGGTTTGGTCCATGTAAAAGGCAGCAGGGACAGGAAAGTTGGGAGCCTAACCAGCCTCAAGGGATTATGGCCTGTTTCTGCATCCTGCTGGTGGGGGACTGGAGGCCAGAGGCCACCTGCTCCCTAAGCCTCAGCATTCCAGAAGGATCTTGGTGAAAGGCTGGTTTGTATCTGCACAGGCTCTTCTGCCTGGAGGCAGACGCCAGGCTGCAGTGCTATCCTTGCTCTGGGCTTTCTCTTTGAGAGGGAAACTGATCTTATCTCCATGTCTTTCCTCCAAGCTTAGGCACCTGCTTGGAAATCTCTATTTTTCAGAAGGAAGAAGGGGAGGAAGAGGAATGATTGTGGCCACGGCAGAAAAGACAGGTTAGGTCAGAAGAGGAAGGTTGGGGGCGGGGGGCGGCAGATGGGCATCAGCGGGAGCCCTACTTCAGAATCCAGCACTGGCCCTGAGCTCTCCTGGGACTCCTTGCCCCTCTCCCTCCCTGGAGGAAAGCTCACTTTATCTGCTAATCTTAAATTCCTGCAGTCTTGGTCTTTAATACTTAGGCTCCTTAAATTTGCTTCTGTGAAAACTCAGGAAGATGGGAAGCTATGAGGCCAGTGCTAATGGAAAAGGCTTGGGGTTGGAGTCAAAGAAAAAACTTAAAATATTTACCCGGTACTCTCCCCTACACATACCCACCCATCTGGCGTGTTAGAAATGAGTTTGGCTTGTGTCTGGAAAAGCAAATAGTCCAGGTCCTTACCACCCAGCCATCAGCTGAACACAAAGCCCCCACGGTCTGCCTTAGTCCTGCCCACTGCCCCGCCTTCCAGCTGAAACTCCGACCCCGGGAGGCTAGCACACAGAGGAGGTGCCCCCCACCTCAAGTCAGACACCATTTTCTCCTCTCCCGCCCACATCCACCCACTCAGTGCCATTCAAGAAACAGTTTCTGTCTGTACTTTTACCACCAGTCTTGGTTAAACATCAGAAAAGAGACAAATTACACACTTCTCAGAAATTGGAATTTTATAAAAAGGCATTTTTTTCTTATATCCATAAAATGATATAATTTTTGCAAGTATAGAAATGTGTCATAAATTATACAGAATGTTCCTTAATTACAGCTCAATGCAACTTGGTTCTTTCCTCCCTCCCTAAAAAACGAGAGAGAACCAAAAAAATAATATATATATATATATATATATACTGTATATATATATATTTATATTTATATTTATATAATATAGACAAACCAAATATGAAAAGAAATCATTTCCTCTTTGGTATAAAAATCAGACTCTCACCTTGAGAGACACACAGACAGACATGATGTTGGGTTTGTAAACCGTGCGGCCTAAAGGAATTTCCCTGTCAAGCTTTCCCCGCCCCTGTTCCCTGCCCACCCCACCCGCCTCACTGCAGCCCAACTCCAGTTCCCTTGCAACTCCCACACTAAAAGTGAGATCTCAGTGCCCCACTCCCAGCTCCACACCATTCCTGAGTAACCCCCTCCGCTAGCAAAGACGAGGAAAAATCCTTCCTAAGACCGATTTGGTAGCAACTAACTTGGGAGACACCTGGACTGGGGAAGGGCTTCCTAGGTGTGGGTGGCCGAGAGGGAGGCCATGTGTGCGGACCAAGCCGGCCCTGGGCAGCTGTGTCCTCTGCTCCCCCTGCTGGCCTGGCTCCCAGTACAGGGACCCAGCACCTTTCCACCACCTTCCGCGGATGCGGGCCTTGGGGGGGCGGGCGCCCTTGTTTACCAGAAGGGAGAAGCAGAGGTCAGCTTCCCTTCAGCCTCACCTCATGGCACTCAGCTTCCCGTTTCGGGCAGCCTCAGGTCCTGGGCGGTAGGTGTGGGAAAATACCCATGAGGAGGGAGAAGGGAAGTCAGAACAGACTCTGCTAATGAACTTGGGTCTAAATTTAAAATGAAAGAAAATGTTCTTAGGACTAAATTTCATAGCCAGGTTTGGGTCACTGAGAAGGACGGGGCCACTTCGCCAGGCTCCAGCCCAGTACCAGCAGGACTTATGGAATCCAGGAGTTGATACACATGTGTTGGGGAGGGGGTCGCACTTCACTCTCAAGGTGAGGAAGGAGACAAGACCAAACCCTCCTGTGTACTCTCCCGACACCCTCTACCCTCTGGCTGACAGGCCGCTCCCTCCCTGGTCAGCCTCTCTGTCCCTCACGGGCACCAGTGGCTGGAGGGCTCCTCCGATACCACTCCACCTCCGGCCAGGCGGGGGCACCCGTGAGTGCCGGCTTGCTCTTCCCCAGGAGAGTTAAGACACCAACCACAACAGAAAAGTCACATCAAGGCCTCCTCCACTTGCCAAACAAAAAAGACAAAACCAAACTGGACACAAACACAAATCAAGGAGAGACACACACAATGTGAGGGGCCCAAGGCCCCAGCAGGTCTCTGGCTTCCCGGCATGATACATTCTTGTGTGATTCAGGAACAGGGGCTCTGGGCCCCTCTGGGGAATGGGAGTAAAAAAATACAGAGATCATAGTCTCCCTGTGGGCTCCCAGGAAGGGCAGGGGCAGACACAACCTCTCACAGTTTTTTCTTCTGTTTTTGGTTCCACATCTGATCCCCCACTGGGGCTGGTTCCTGATGCCCCAGCCCCGACTCTGCCCTTGGGGCCTGCCCCCTGCACCCCCCAGCTGCTAGGAGGGCCCTCGGCTGGGGAGCCCCAGCCACTTCTAGTGGGACCAGCAGGACAGAGTCTACCGGGGAAATGGGATGAGGACCCAGGCAAGGGATGAGGACCTGCAGTTCCCAGATGCTGTCCTCTTGGTGGCTGGCCAGCCCTGCGTGCGCTGATCACTGGCACGGGGCGTCCCCGTCCCAGCCTTTACCCCTTGAGGGGCTTGTCGGCCCCTCCACTGGGGCTGCTAGCGCTGTCACTCTTCTTCCTGCGCAGGCTCTCAATCCAGCTGGAGCTGGAGCGGGTGGTGAAGCTGGAGAGCGCCAGGGAGCTGACCCGCATGTTTTTGCCGGACATGATGAGCTCCCCGAAGCCCTCCTGGTGGGAGAAGGCGTAGCCAGAGCGCCGGGAACCCGTGCGACCCACCCGCCGCATGCAGCGGTGCTGGGCCTTCTGCTTCTTCCTCACCAGCTGGGTGTAGCGGACCTGGTGGGGCGGGGGGAGCACGACGGAAGGAGCCTCAGTCAGTGTCAGACCCCACCACGGGGAAGGGACCCAGCGCACCCGGGACTGGGAAGGGCAGAGGACCAGCACTGACACACTAAACAGAAACTGCAGCTGCAGGAGTGCTGAAGCCCGAGGGCTTCCAGCCCCCAAAGCAGCCGACCTGGCCTCTCACCGTGTCTGAGAGATCCGGCTTCAGGTGCAGCCTGAGGAACCGAAAGGCGACCACAGGCATGATGCAGACGACTGTGGTGAGCACAATGGTCAGCCACACGGTGGGTTGGGCCAGGGTGTTCTGGGCATTACCTGGGAGCAGAGGAGTCAGAGGCCTCGGGAGTCACAAAGCAGGCAGAAGGGCAGCCCCCGGAGTTCCCCATTTCTATTTCTGGCAGCCCCACTTCCCCAGTTTCAAAACCAAGTCATCCCTGGCTTCCCGCTCCTCTCCGCTCCCCAAATGTCTACCTCCAAACTGGACACTAGCTCCAAACTCTCCCCACAACTTCAGACATCTCCGTTGAACGTCTAACAGGCATCTCAGTTTCACATGGTCAAAAAAGTACTGCTGTTGCCACACCTCAATCTGCTCCACGTCTTCCCCAGCTCAGGAAATGCCCCCACCCACTCAGCTGCTCCAAGTACAAGCCCAAAGTCCACCTGATTTGCCCCGCTCCCCATCTCAGACCCCTCATCCAATCTGCTGGCTCCATTTTCAAAATGCTTGTGGGATTCCACTGCTTTTCTTTCTGCTCCTAGCCACCATCATTCGCACCTGGACTACTGCTCTAGCCTCCTAGCTGGTCTCCCTATGTCCACCTTTGCCCTTTACATTTTATTATCCACAGAACAGCAAGAGCGATCCTTTTTTTTTTTTTTTTACAGTTGTTTCAAGGCTTTGGTTCAAATTTAATTAAATTAAACTTTCTACTAAATGTTTCTCACTCTTTTATTTTTTTTTACATTTTTATTGATTCATAATCATTTTACAGTGTTGTGTCAAATTCCAGTGTTCAGAAGAGCGATCCTTTTAAAACATAAACCAGTTTATGACATTTCCCTGCTCAAAAACCTCCAATGGCTTTCCCACCACATTTAGATCAAAATTCATACTTTTACCTGTAAGAGCTTAAATGATCCATATTGATTCTCTGCCCTGCCCCCTACCTTGGCCCCACCTTCTAACCTGGTTTCCTCTACTCCCCCAGCTCCTCATCAGCCCTCATCTAAGGCTTCTGCATCACTGCTTCCTCTTCCTGGTCTGTTCCTTCCTGGAGAGGCACCTGGCTCGCTCCTTCCCTTTATTCAGATTTCTCTGTGCCAAGCCCCATCTTTTCCTCAAGAGGTCTCTGCTGACAACTCCTGTCCCTCTCTACCTTGCCGATATTTCTTATAGGACTTATTAGTTTCAGACATTGTATCTGTTAACTTATAAATTGTTTGTCTCTCTTGTTGAAATATGAGATCCAGGAGGGCAAGGATTTTGCTAATTGCTGCATCTCTAGGACCCAGCATAGCTGGTGACTGAATGCCCACTGGATGAGTGAACGAACGGATCTCAAGCCAATGCCAAGACTCACAAATGAGTCTTTGATCTCATGCCTCCCAACCAGCCCCTCCTGGCCACCCATCACTGCTACCCCGGCACCAGTTCTGAACAGCCTTGCACTCAGTCACTATAGAAGCTTCCTCACTGGCCACTACCACATGCATTTTTCTAAAGTAATCCTCTGATGCCATTCCCCACTGTCTCCTCAAAAAAAAAAAAAAGAAGAAGAAGAAGAAGAAGAGGAAGAAGAGGAAGAAGAAAGAAAGAAGGAGAAGAAGAAGGAGAAGGAGAAGGAGAAGCAGAAGCAGAAGCAGAAGCAGAAGCAGAAGCAGAAGCAGAAGCAGAAGAAGAAGAAAAGAGAGAGAGAGAGACTCCTGGCAAGTTAAATGCAAACCCGACACCTGACAGCCTGGCATTCTGATACCTCAAATGGCCTGCCTGCCTTTCTAGCTTCTCTTCCACCGCTTCTCAGTGGGTATTCTTGCCCATCTCCTGCTGGAGCACTCTCTATTTCCTGGAAAAAAGCGGCCTCCTCACACTCCCAGCTCTTCGACTTGGATTCTGTCTCCCCAGCCCTGGTTCCACTCCCAGCAGCCCTATCCGTGACCATCCCATAAGCAGTTACTTTGCTGACCATGAAGCCTGCCACCCCGACCTCCCTTGGATCCCTGACCTCCCACGGCCTGGCAAGGCTGCTCTTCATTTTCATGGATATGGAAGCCCCCTGAGGGCAGAGCCTGGGTCAGATACACCAAGATCCCCACAGCACCTTGCAGAACACCTGGCACACAAGGAATGTTGAATAAATGCCTACCCACCCTGGTGGTCCCAGAACAGCTGTGATCCCTCACTGATTCAAGAGGAAGCCACAGGGACTCACCCACAAACCGGAACTGGTTTGGAAACATGTCGAAGAGCCCATTGCTGTGCATGGCGAAGAGGATGGCAAAGTAAACCGCTAGGCTGCCCCAGATGAAGAAGTGGTTGATGGCCGTCCAGTAGCCGGTATCCAGCCCGATCTGCAAACAGCAGTTATCACAGGCAGAAGGAGCATCCCCCAAAACTCCGTCCCCCTGCCCAGAAACAGAACTCTAACGGCCAGGGCAGCCCCACGGACAGGAGGCTCACTCCTTTCAGAGGGGAGGGCTGTTCCCGGACTGCCTCATACCTGCACACTGACTACGATGACCAGAGAAGTGGCCACAGTGACTGCAAAGGATTGGTAGTCAGCCAGCTGGGTGCCATCATCCCGGGTGGCCTCAGCAAACACCCCATAGGGGATGAAGAACATGAGCACGGACGTGTAGATGCCCTGGGCGATGCAGATGAAGAATTCCCGCTTGTTGAAGAGGAGGTTCAGCTGGCCTGGCTCATACAGCTTAGGGTACTCCATGCTCCGCTGCTCTGGGACGTCCTGTGTGTGGAGGGCCAGGTGGCATGGGAGGCCTCAGAAGCTGCAGTTTGGACTCAGGACAGCCACGGGCTGACTCTGCCCTTGCCTTCTTTGTTCCAAATTCTTTGACAGCTAGATCCAACCTCAAGCCAACTGCCCCCAATCAATCTTTGTTCAGCAACCCAGGGGTGTTTCAGGTCCAGTGTAGCTGAGGAGAACCAGCCACAGCCTGCCCAGCTCAAAGAACTGCCTTCCCAGGGGCCACAGGCAGTGGGCACAAGGGTCACAGGCCCACCACTATCAGGTGACTCCCTCGCAGCCATGTCCTTCTGCCCAACCCGCTCCATCATGCAACTTTCATACCTGATCGAAGACCCCCATAGCCAGGACTGGGAGGGAGGTGTACACGATGTTATATAGCGTGATGAAATACTGGTCGTAGACAGTCTGAAAAGAGAACAGGGAGCAAGAGAGGAGTGAGCATGCAGTCCTTCTTCACTCCAAACCAGGTGGAGGAAGATAGCTGATGTGGCCTAAGGAATGCTCTGGAACTCCCTGTTCACTCCTTCAACAAGAATTTTTAAAAGGCATGCGTAAGACAACAGCTAGGCCCTAAGGGGACTGAGGGATGAACAGGACCGACACAGTCTCTGCCCGTAAGGAGCTCACAGATAGGGAAGCCAGGGGACTGAGGAGCTCGCTACCTGGGCCGAGAAACCGCAGAAGAAGCCAAACCAGAAGTGGACCATGGTGAAAGCGAAGTTCTTGTAGAAGAAATAGCAGAGGAACTTGCACATGCGCAGGTAGGACCAGCGCCCGTGTACCAGCAGGAGGCGCTGCAGGAACTTGAACTGGGAGAAGGAGTAATCGGAAGCCAGGACAGCCTGGATCCCTTCCTGCCCGCTGATGCCCACACCAATGTGAGCCGCTGCGGAGACAAGAGATGACAGAGGGATGAAGACGGCCAAATACTTCAGAATCCCACCACGTTCCAGCCCCCCTCCCCGCCATCCTTCCCTGGGCCCCTCTCCCTGCCCTACTGCCCAGCCAACACACCTAACGGACCACTCACTTTTGATCATGCTGACGTCGTTGGCTCCATCCCCAATGGCAAGGGTCACAGCCTTCTTGTACTTCTTAACCAGTTCCACCACTTGTGCCTTCTGCAAGGGGGTCACGCGGCAGCAGATGACAGCTTTGCAGGCACAGGCCGTCTCCAGAAACTCCAGCTCCATGTCTGCCTCTAACGCATGAGCCTGGAACACAGAGGGCACTGAGAGAGCCCCGGTCATCTCCAGGGGAGACCTGGGGTCAGCTCCCCCCAGTTCCCCTCTGAAATCCAAGGAGGTGGGAACAAGGTAAGAACCAAGAGCCGCTCTCTGAAGAGGTACTGCCCGGGCGAAGGACGGCGACACTTACCAGGCTGTGCCCGTTGATGACCAGGGCATACTCCCCAGCGACGGCATCCAGGACGGAAGCGAGCTTGGAAGAAAGCTTCTCCTGGTAGGTGAAGCCGTTGCCGACGGTGCGGGAGGAGTCCATCATCTTCTCCCGGGCTTTCCTGTGAAGGGGGAATGGAACTGTCATCAGCCAGCAGAGGAGCAGGGATGCAAGCCCGATCAGGGAACCTCTGCCCGACACCCGTGTACAGCGCAGAGCATCTGCCTGCCTCGGCCCCTGTTTACCTGAGCTCCTCCCGCACTTCCAGGACCGTGTGGCCAGTGACGATGAACACCTCCGTCATGTCGTCGGTCAGCATCTTGCAGGAATAGCCAATGTTCACAGCCGTCTCTACCAGGAGAGAACCCAGGCGCTATGGACAGGCCCCCGACAAGGTCGGCGCGCTCTGCGGCCCGATGTCCTGGGCCTGTGAGAGAACGCAACGGGGCTGCATCCAGATGCAATTTTCTCTGCCCTGCTGGGCTCTCACCTTGTTTGTCTCCGGTTAACACCCAGATCTTGATGTTGGCCAGCGTCAGGAGAGCGATGGTCTCTGGAACACCCTGCTGAAGCTTGTCCTCGATGGCCGTGGCCCCCAGCAGCTGAAAATACCACAAGAGCCCCTGGCATGAGGGTCCCAGGCACAAGGCCTCCTTGCTCACCCTCGGCCCACTCTGCAGCCCATACCATCATGTCGCTCTCAACCTCCTCGTAGACGCTGGCCAGCCGGTCCTCCCGGCTGTCCTGCGCCAGGCTGGCCTGGAGGCGTCTCTCAGCCCACTCCTCATAGTACTCTTCATCCAGATCCTTGTAGGCCAGGACCAGGGTTCTCAGCCCTTCGCCTGCGTACTCCTGAGGGAGGAGGCAAGACACTCGGCTCTTACTCCCTCCCACCACACGGACAGCAGCAGACCCGCAGGGCCCCTCCTTCCTCACACCTACATTCAGGTGGTCAGTGGTGGTGTTGAGCAGCTCCTGGGTGGAATGGTGGAGCCTCTCCAGCAAGATGGTGTCAGCCCCTTTGCAGTACAGTCGGATCTTCCCCTCCGGATTCCGCACTAGGAGTGGGGTGGGAGAGAACACCCAGAAAAATTCAGAAGGTGAAAAGCCCCAACCTGAACACATCAAGGGTCACCCAGCACACCTCACCCATCCTGGGCCTACACGCCACCCCCAGACGCCCCAGCCCCCTGAGCCCGGCCTCACCTATGACCGACATCCGTTTACGGATGTTGTTGAAGTCCAGGATGGCCAGCAGCTGGTAGGTGATGGCCGTGCCCAGCTCGTGGACAGTGATGGTCTTGGGGGTTCGAGAGCGGAATACGAAACCAAAGTTCCTGGCTGCGGTAACCAGGGCCCCCTCGTCTGGAGACTGGGCTTTGTAGTACAGCTCCCCTGGGTAGGAAGGAAGAATAGCGTCGATGGCCACACTTTTTTTTTAATTGAAGTACAGTTGATTTACAATGTTTCAGGTGTGCACCCAAAAGATACAGTTATATGTTTGTGCATGCGTGCCTGCGTGTGTCCATCTATATCCTTTTTCAGATTCTTTTCCATTACTGGTTATTCAAAATACTAAATACATTTCCCTGTGGTAGCTACGCTCTTGGACTGCGTGTCCCACCCAGAGAGCCCTGGTGGCCACCCTGCAGAGCACAGCCTGAGCCCAAAGGCACGAATCAGGTGGGGGTAGAGGGCCAGCCAGCTTCTGGGCTCACCTTCATTCTTTTCTTCTGACATGACAGTGTGACACAGGGAAAGGAGGCGGAAGAACTCGTGCGTGTGGTGGTCCCCCATCTTGACAGCCTCCAAAAGGCTGGGGTCCCAAAATAAGAACTTCTTGTCAGCCAGAGGATTGAAGGAGAAGTCAACGGGTTCAGGCCTCTGGAGCAGGAAAGGGGGCGATCAAGGGGTTGTCGCCAGGCTGCCTCCTGGGGAGGAGGGGTCAGGAGAGTCTGTCCCCACCCTTCTGTCCCCTACCCTTCCAACTCTCAGTAGGAACTTCCAAGACCCTATCCATTGTGGAACTCAAGGTTACCACTTCTGCTACCAAGTCTTCTTTAAAACACTCATTTCCTCCAAGTGGCTTCCATTTCCAGACCAGACAACACATCACTCCTAATTCTACCACCTCATTCCTGGCCAGGCACCTCAAGTTTAGCTGGCACACAGAATCACTACAGAGTCTGGACCTTACCTCTCCCAACTCAGCTTTGTGTCCCAGGACATCGAATACATCACCTACACACAACCAGGACAGAAGAAGAAGCAAAGTCAGTGAGAGATCTCTCAGAGCAGGCAGAGAAGCCCTCAGAACAGAACTCCTGCAGGCACCTGGAACCCGCAACCCTCATCACTGAGTAAATGTCACACAGATTCACACGCTGACTTGAGGGACCAGAGGCACAGGCACCTTGGATCCTCAGAACCCCAGGGCTGAAGTCGTGACACACACTGCTCCCCATCCCCATCCCCGCCACCCACTCCAGCCCCACCCAGGGCAGCTGCAGTTCCATACCTATGCCCCCACAGCCACTTCAGGTGCCTTTTAGGCCTGCACAACAGAGCCTCACACACTGACCATGAGGCCTGGGTTAGTACAGAAAGCAGTCAGGAGAGGGACTCACTCTGCGTAAAAGTTAGAGCTCACAGCCCCTGACCCAAGCCGTCCCAGCAGCGCAGCCACAAGGCCACTGCAGTGTGGCCATGCTGAAAAGACCGCAGTCACATTCCAGAGACTCACAGGGGCCCTGGACCGCACCACAGGGAGTGTCCAGCACTCCACCGAGGCAGCCGAGGTCCAACCTGGCCAAGACACCCAGAGGCCAGGGTCCCGGGCTTCACTCCAAACAGCCAAGGAGCGCCCCTGCTGCCCAGAGCCAAGATCAGGGTGAGGGTGTCGGCTGGCAGAGGAGGGGGCGGCACTGCTGGTGTCTGCTTCCTGACACAGGGCCCAGAGCGGACCCTTTCAAGGCCCCACAGACCCAAGTAGAAAAGAAGTAAAACCCAAAAGTGAAAACAACTGTGGGAGCACCAAGAGCGCCGGGGCAAGGCGCGAGCCCCCGGGCCCCGGCGGCGCCACCGTACCGTAGCTGCGACCGTGGATGGAGCACTTGTTGAAGACCATGATGTTCTGGGTGAGGGTGCCCGTCTTGTCGGAGAAGATGTACTCCACCTGGCCCAGCTCCTCGTTCAGGGTGGTGGTGCGGGCCTCCGCAGGTGTCCGCTTCTTCATGCAGAACATCTTCTTGTCCCAGTTGATGAAGTAGCTGTGGCCCAGGCGGATGACCTCCACACTGCACAGGGGACAGGAGGTGAGGCTCGGGGCAGGAGCGGGCAGGTGCCCCACCCACACAGGCCCTCGCTGCAGGCCCTCCACCTGGGGAGAAACGAGATGGAGCGGACACCTGGGCATGGACACCTGGGCTGGGAAGGGCAAGGAGAGCCTGAAGGTGGAGCCGGCCATGCACAGCCGGCAGAGGGGCTCCCCGACCCCGACCCTCCAATGCTCTCCAGACAAAAAGGTGCAATGGGCCTGGGCAGGCGGGACAGACGGCACAGGCAGAGGAGAAGGGACTGCAGACAAGGCACTCAACC